TTGGTAAAATGTGGATTTTTAAATGCGGGGGAAAGGTTATACAAGGAACTATGGGGATAAAAAAGAAGTAAGAGATCAAGCGAGGTAAGACCATAGGATACTGGTATTCTCAGGAGAGAAATGGGGAAAATGGGGATATTTCAAAGGGGGAGGGAGTGGAGGGAGGGAGGGAGAGAGAGAAGGGAGAGAGAGAAAGGAGAGAGAGAAGGGAGTGAGAGAGGGAGAGAGGGAGGGAGGGGGAGAGAGAGAAAGAGAGAGAATAAAATTAAATCTTTAAAACAAATTGTTTTAAAATGTTTTTATTCATGTGTCTAACTTTAACAGTATTAAAATATAGGTTTGTCATACACACAATCACTCTTTTATAGATTTGCAATATGAAATTTAATAAATGTTACAAATTATAACTTGATCAAGACTTATAACAAAGTACTTTAGAAATCAGACAAGATACTTAAGGTTGATTACATTAAATTTCTAACCCAAATACAAACAAGGGGTTCTGAATGATGCTAATCTTTAAAACTGGTTTCCCCAATTCTGAATTTCACTGCTCCCCTCCTAACCTAAAACCTTAGGAATTTTTCCTTATATATTGGAAAAACAGAATTCTTAAAAACCAGTTGGATGATACAACTGCCTTTACAGGTACAATCTACTTCTTAGCAGCCTGTAGGCCATCGACAAAGTAACTCCATAGCCAATAATAAATGCCAAGGCTCTGTTTGGCTGGGGAAGAGGAGTCAAATATGCAATAGTGTGGTAGATCCGAGCTCCCAAAAAGATTCTGAAGTGCATTAGGGCTGTAGAGAGATCTGGACCACTCAAGGAATACAGGAGGCCGATACCAAGAAAGGGAACGATGTTTTCAAGGTCATTGAGGTGAGCTCTGCAAGAAAAGGTGGCTATGTGAGTTTAAAATCAGTGTAAATTCACTCAGTCTTCCCCTCTTCTAAAACTAAATACAAGTGATAATATACACACATACATATACATATACACATACATATACATATACATGTATATACCTTTTGCCTTGTTTTGTTTTCAACAGGGCTCAGGGTGGTCTGGAGCTCACTATGTAACCCAGGATGTCCTTGAATTCACAATCCTCCTGCCTCCTTCCCTCAAGTGTCAAGTACTAAGACTCAGGCATGAGTTACTGTATCCACAATGTTAGTAGATCTTTACATTATGAAATAAGAGTCATTTTTCTTCTCAAACTCTCACTTCCGTACTAACTTAACTTTCATTTAGAACATCTCACTATAATTTTTTTCTTTTTACTATATCTTGGATTCCATTGTTTTCAGAATATCAAAACTGCATTTATCTAGGAAAAATCACTTCATTTTTATAAATATGAAATGTTTACTTTGCAACTCAAGTTTCTTTTTATGAAAACCCTTCTTCCTAAAGAAATAATATCCTTTCACTTATGATTTGTCTTAAGACTCCTTCATTCCTGCTAGTCTTTAAGAAATGCTTATGGGGCTGAAGAGATGACCCAGCAGTTAAGAGTACTAGCTGCTCTTGCAAGGATCCAGGTTTAATCCCCAGCATCCATATGGTAGCTAACAACTGTCTGTAACTCCAGTTCCAGGGGATCTGAAAACCTCTTCCAACCTCCATGGGCACTGCACGACATGGGTACACTTACATACATGCAACCAATATACTCATACACACAAAAATATTTTTTTAAATATAATTTTTTAAGAATTAGAAGGAAATGCTTATTTAGAAATGCTTATTTAGGAAAGGTCCCATTTCTCCAACCCACCATGAGCCTCATTCTCTTTCACATCCAAAAAACAAAACAGAGAGATGTCCTCCTAGATATGGGTGAGATTTTAGCCATTCCATCTCCAAACCAAAGAAGAAACTAGTAATGATATAAAATGAAACAATGAAAGTATGAAGGCCACACAAAAGAGAGAGATTGAGCAAGAGAGAGGCAAAGGGATGGGGGGGTGAAAATGTGAAATTCCTGAATTTCATCTGTATACCATCATCATCAGAAAACAGAAAGTGTAATTTAGCCAGCAATTTTTCTCTGACCTGTGGCACCTTGGGATTTTCCGGTTAGGATTGTGAATAAAAAGCACATATATTATTGACCTGAAAATTTTAAGCACCTAATTACTAAATGTGATGACCCCTTTTAAAGTGCATAGAATTAAAAGTTGCTTTACAACCTAGGCTACAATAGAGACCTGGATAGAGTTTGCAGCTATTGGTGTATGTTTCAAAATGGAAAGTATTTCTGTTTCATGTTTACAGCTTTTAGCTTGGGCATAAAGTATAATTATTACACACTGTTCTCTCAAGGATCACCTCTCATTCCTCCACTCCTTTCTCCTGTGAGCTCTAAGGTGTCCTGATAAGAACAGTGACAAGAAGAGATGAAGAAGGCAGCAGGCTAGAGAGGACCTGGAAGTGTTTAGTCCCTACTCACGGAGAGCAAGGGCTGCTGAGGGTGCAGTGGGGTACAGGTGTATAGTAGCGGTGGATGAGAAAGAATGGGAACACCATTATCTAAAGAGCCCACTTCTGCAGTTACACCAGCGCCATTTGCTTTAGTCCTCTGTATTTAACTGCAAGACCAGAGATATCTTCACCTCTGTTCTCAGGAATTATCCACTTTCTTTTTTAAACAACATATTGCTCTGACCTGGAACTACTCTCCAAGTAGACTAGGCTGTGAACGCTAGTAATCCATCTATCTATGTCTCCCCAGTGCTAGGATTATAAGCTTGTTCCACCATGCCATCTCTTTTTATGTGGGTTCTGGGGATCAAACTTAGGTCTTCTGCTCGCAAGGCAAGCACTTGACTGACTGAGCCATCGCCCCAGCCCTTTACATCATCCACTTTTGAACAAGTCAGGGTTTTCCTTTCCAACATTTTAAAAAGCTAGAAAAAAAATTAAAGTTCAGGAAGAAACTATAAAATGAATACCGTCTGAAAAATTACAGTGTCTGGGCCTAGACAGATGGCTCAGCAGTTAAGAAAACGGCTGCTTTTGCAGAGGACCCAGGTTTGATTCCCAGTACGCACATGATAGCCAACAACTTCCCATAACTCCAGCTCTAGAGGATCCAACAGCTTCTTCTGACCTCCGTGGGCACTGCATGACACAGGTGCACTTACACATGCATGCACATAGCATAAAAATAAATTATACTGTCTACTTCTAAGCCTATACTAAGTGATCATCAAATAAAGTGCAATACTAAAGTAGAGAAGAAAATCAAGCTCAGTAAGGAGAAAGGGGGATGGAGATGAAGAAACACATGTAAGAATACTTTGAAGGAATTACTGGACTCTTTCTGTTAATTGAATTTCCATGTCGTCTACCTTCAATCTTCACAGATAACATTCCTTACTGTCCCCGAAAGTCCTAATTTCCAGACCTCCGAGCTACATGCTAGCCCTACCCAGGCACAGCTGCACATAGCTGGCTCCGGAGCACCCCTGTAGTACACTATTACCCTTCCACTTACCCCGTCCTCTTTGCAACTAAGCTTTCCCAAAGCCTTCCTTCACTTTTGCTCCACCTATAGACAGCTCTGAGAATCTAGTACCAGGTGAACACCACACTTCACGAGTGACCAGATTCTACCTGGTTGGATCCCCACTGCCCTATGAGCTATGTTTCCATTCTTCTTTCTTTGCCCTATGACGGACCTTCCCACCAGCTCTATGCTTACACAGTCACACATCATTCCCTCAAATCAGAGTCTTAGGTCCCAGCATCCCCCTGACCTAGACTGCAGTCACTCTGTGTCCTGAGAATAAACTACCAAATGGTGGCCAACTATGAAAGGAGTCTAACCATATTTCCCCAATGCCCTTGGCTCAGCCAGAGTTCTCGCTCTGAGCACATGCACAGCAGTGCATCTAGACTCTCACGAGGAGTTTTCTCAAGCTGACATAACTTGTCATCTCCTCTTCTTCATGAAATATTCCTAAATGCATAGCGACGTGCTCCCTGTGGTCCACTACTGCAAAAGCTAAGGGACCATGCCACTGTCTAATTACTACCAATGCTGATGTTACATTCTCATGGAACATTATAAACCACTGGAGGCAGGAACCTGGTTCTAAAGGTCTTTGATAGTGGGGGCTAGAGAGATGGCTCAGTGGTTAGGAGCACTGGCTGCTCTTATAGAAGACCCAAATAGCAGCAGCTAAAAAATATCCATAACTCTAGTTCCAGGGGAATCCAATGCCCTCTTCTGACCTCCTTCTGACCTCCGCAGCATTGCACGGCAAGGGTGCACTTACACACATGCAGGCCATGTACTCATACACATAAAATAAAAATAATAAAATATTTTAAAAAGATCTTCAATAGCATCACAAAGGATGATAGGACAGTGATACATATGCAAGAGTCTCCCAATAGATGCCATGTTCATGCAGTGGGGCTACAGGGGAAGTCAAACAGTTCACCCTCTAACTCAGGGTTCCGTTTCTTGATGGAATCTCCAATAAGCATCACTCAGGAACCACAGAACACACTCAGAGATGGGGGGGGCGCTCCACCTTTGAAGACAGTGTATTATAAATTCCTCTCCTTTCCCTCAGTACCACACACATTTTTGAATGATTCATTTTATTTTTCTAGATGCCCTGATTACCTTTCAAGTTTCATTTATCTTGTGGTTCTGAATGTGTATCATCTTGAATTCCTCTCAAAACAAGGTGAAATAAAATTGAATAAGTAAATATGTAAAGTGCTTTCTAACCATCACTGGTTTCTGTTCAGAGCTCACAGAGCTGACTCTAGGCTCCATTTCTTGTGTGTCAACACATACTACTTTAAGCTTTGAGCTAATTGCTCTATATGTATTAACTTTATGAATCTCGAATCCCTGCAAGCATAGCTTCTTTGTTTGTAGGCCCACTCAGTCTCTGCCATCGGAATATGCAAACAGTAACAGGATTATAATTACATATTACAATAATGAGGGGAAAAGTCTAGGCTAAAGGGAGAAGGGAAATTCTGGAAACTTCTAAAAATTGTTTCCATGTGTGTATTATTAGCAACTTATATGGTAAGATCAATCAATTCTCAAAAATATATAGCTGGAAACCAGACCCTTTGCTCTCTGTAGGTCTCCTGTTCCTACACTGCAAGTCCAGAATCCAATCACCAGGGGGCACTGTGCACACTCGTGTTGTACCTCCCTAGGTATTAGAGCTAAGGTCAGCAGTTGGGTCTCACTAACACTTACATGTAGATCAGACTAGAATAAAGAGTCCTCAGGGAGATAAGGATGACAGTAGGATAGGTAGAAAGGAAAATCTGAACTCACAAAATGAAATATTTTTAATTGAATTTTTGAGAATTTAATACAATATATTTTGATTCTATTCACATGCCTTCCTTTCTCTGTACCTCTCCATACTAACCCTTCACGTCGGATTTCATGCACTGTATAATATATATTTAGGCCTATCACCTCTAATTTGTGTCCGCAAATGCCCTACAGTGTGGGTCTATCCACTGGAGCCTGATTAACCTACCTAGCATCACACCCTTAAAGAAAACTGACTCGCTCCCCCAGGAGCTGTCAGTTGTCAACAGTTCCATTAGTTAAACTTTCATATAGGACTGGCCTGCTCCCTTCGACCTCTCTAATGATGCCACTGCAATACTGTGGCCATTTTCTGATTCTGGTTGGTTTTATGAGTAGTGGGTCATGATTAGCATCAAGTATGTGGCTGCCTGTTCTCACAGAGAAACAAGGGAACAGATAAAGCTTTCAGTGGTTTAATGTCTCCAAACCTTCATCCTTTTCTCTAATTTTTATTCCTTCCCATCATAATACTTATGGCATTTCTTCTGATATTGTGAAGGTTTCACATTGATTCTTTCGTCCTGAAACTATTTTAGATGCATATTCTTGGCACAACCCATATTCAAGACTGGCTGCCTTAGGAGCACTGCTGAGTTAACCAGTACATAACTAAGAGAGACATAAGCAAATGCTTTAAGTATCTAGCACACACTTCCTCTTAAAAGAAAAACAGTCTTGCTTGATAAAGGTCTGTGTTGCACAGCGTAAATTCCCAAGTACTTCAATTTACTCGAGTCCATTTTTCCCATATTTTTCCAGTTGATTTGTTGAGGGAACTGAGGGAAGAGCTTACATCCAACATAACAAAATGTAAACTTGGGAAGTGTAGATGAACCCACGCCAGTCTTCACCTTGGGTTTATGTACCTTATACCTTAAGAAAGTCTGTAGAAATCATGAGAGGGCTTTAGACTTTCAAAGGGAAGCAAGAAGAGGTTGCAAATAGGAACCAGAGACTTCAGCTGATACCCAGTAGACAGAAGGAAAAGTCTTTCCTCTCAGTCTTTTGGTTCACACCAAACCGCAGACATATATTCATTACATTCACTATCTTAACTTTCTGCCACAAAACTAGCTGGATATTTAATGTCTATAAAATTAACTTCCCTGATGCTCTACTTTGATATAACTTCATTCACTGAAGTGTGCCTAGAGTTATCTCACAGCTTGAATGAGCATTAAAGTTTAAATGAGAAGAAGATGGTGTATACCTTTGATAGTCCACATCTCATAAAACGGGGGAACCGGGGGACTATTATTAGATTTAGCAGTAGGACCTCAGTATAAAACAACTTTTCACATTGCATAACTATGACAAAGATCAATAAAAATATGGTCAGCTCTAGAATTCCAGGTGCTTTTAAAATAAGTATATTAGGAGCCCTGTCAGGAAGCCGTGAAGGGGGCACCGTAGCTTATCTTTCTTCAGTGTCCATTGAATTCCCAGCAAATTAAACAGAACATCTACAAAGGAGAGAGAGACAAAGACAGGAAGGAAAGATCTCCTCATTTCTCTGGAGTGCCAACTTTCATAGTTTAACTTTTGTACAGAAGCACCTAGTTCTTCAGCCTTTTATATGAAGGGACAATCTCAATTCGGGAGGGAAACGACAGAACTGGCAAGAATCTGGTGCTCCTGTTTTACCTCCTGCTTACGGTTATTTTTCATATATTCTGAAACACAATGCAAAATATCAGCCCCAACAAAGTCCATACAGACTTGAAACAAAATCGACAATAGGTGCAACTGCCGCTTTGCTGAGTGACCTCGAGATCCCTCACTTTCTGTGACTTGTTACGTGGACTATTTAAAAAGACTGAGTCCCCCCGTCCCACCTTCTCTAAGATCCTGACATCTTTGCTGGGTTTCTTGACCATAATTCTTGACTGAGTAAGGAAGTGTCAGAGGCAATGTCCTACCTTCGCACGCGTTCCACCCTGTCATCTGTTCGAAGAAACTTCTTGGCATTCTCTCCCTTACCAAAGCCTGCAGTGTCTTCTGGGTTGGCAAAAACCTATTCCAAATACCAAGATAAAAGGAATATTGGCAGTTCTGGGGTTATAGATCAATGGTGGTGGCTTGTTTAGCAAATGCAAGTCCCTATATTCAGTCCCTAGTATCAAAATAAGCAAGCAAATTAAAAAAAAAACCTCATGCCAAACTCCATGAGATACATCTGTTGGAACCTATGGGGGTATTCTTCCTAATTAATAATCTGCATTTGGGTTGTGCGCATGTGTGTTTGTGTGGGCATACATGTAGGTGCAGGTGCATGTGCACATGGATGCCAACTACATATGGAGGCCTTGGGCCCTCAAGTGTTAGTCCTTAGGAGGTGATGTTCACTTAGATTTTTGAGACAGGGTTTCCTATTAGCCTATAGTTTACCCCACTGGCCAGCAAGCCCCAGGGACCCTCTAGTTACTTTCCCAGTGCTGAGATTACAAGCATGCACCACTGTATCTGGCTTTTTTAATAAAGACTACTGAGGATCAAACTCAGGTCCTCAGGTTTTCACAGCAAGCATTTTACCACCTACTGAGCTATTTCTCCAGTCCCAGGAATTTTCATTTTAGGACAAGACATACAAGCATCCAGGTTGGGCTTTATGGAAAGAAAATGCAGAATGGTAAATCAAACACAAAGAGAGAGGAGGAAAAGCATTCACAGTTTAAACCTGAGTCTTCATTAACTTGCAAACTTTTTTAAAGAAGCACAAAAAACAAACTTCTGTAAAAGCCAGAATATAAAGATAAGAAAAATGTGGCCTGTGAAATAGCTCAGCAGATAAAAGTGCTTGTTGCATAAGCTTGACCTTGAGTTTGGTTCATGGAAACCACAGTGGAAAAGAGAAATGACTCCCAAATGTTGTCCTCTCAGCTGGGCATGGTGGTGCACACCTTTAATCCCAACACCCAGGAGGCAGAAGCAGGCTGATCTCTGTGAGATCAAGGCCAGCTGGGGCTACAGGGAGCCCCTGTCTCAAAAACCAAACAAAAGTTATCCTCTGATCTCTACTCACATGCCATGGCACATTCTCTCTCTCTCTCTCTCTCTCTCTCTCTCTCTCTCTCTCTCTCTCACACACACACACACACACACACTAAATAGAATAAAATTTTAAAAAATAGTTAAAGGGAAGTAAAAACAGAAAAGTGGTATAGTTCCTAGCCACAGTCAACTATCACAGTGATGCTGACACAGCACCCCTCACATGCATCACCATTTGCGTGTGAGTGAGTGATTTGCCAGGAAGGCCTCCACTTTCCAAAGTTGTTAGAGAACAGGCTAGCAGCATAAAAGGTGGTGGTGGAAAAGGCATTCTGACTGTATACCAATATGCTTGTGCCCCACGTCTCTGAACAGCGTAGATAGACCTGCAGGTTGAATAACTGTTGGACTGCCTACCAGTGAACAGCAAGGACATGTTCTGGGGTATACATTCATGGATTCCTTCCTGCAATTACTATGCTGTTTGCCATGATTTCCTCCATCCCTTGAAATTTGACATATGAATTCAAGAAATATTTAAATAGGTTCTACCACTTAATAATTTATAATAAATAAAAACAGATATAAAAGTAGTTTTAATTTAAGCTTGACAATCTCATAAATATTATAATTTTTTCTTAATATGTGAGCATTTATTACAAATAAAGATGTTATGAACTGCAGAGCAGAGATGTGACAAAGTGTCAGTTTTAAAGTCAGGCCTGTCTATCTTGTTCCTCCTAATGTCCTCTAAAAGAATGCTCAGCATACATTAGATGCTCTATATGTGAATTTTTGAATAAAGAAATAAAATGTATCACAATGGATCCTCCATGAGATTTGAGCTTAAACCAAATTGAATTTGTGTGTGTGTGTGTGTGTGTGTGTGTGTGTGTATGCACATATGTGCAAGAGAGACAGAGACAGAGAGATGCTGAGAAATGCTGGGGATTGAATCCAGGGTCTTGTATAGCTAGGCAAGCACTCTACCACTAAGTTATATACCCAGCCCCTCAAACTAAATTTTAATCTCAGCCTCATTCTTTGTAGGTAGTAACACTGAATAAGCTATTGCTATTGACTCAATGTGTCTGTCCTCACAGAATGCATAAATTGATGCCTAATCCTCAATGTGATGGTATCTGAGGTAGGGCCTTTGGGAGGTGATTAGGTCATGTGGATGGAACCATCATGAATGGGATTAGTGTGCTTATAGAAAGAAACAGGAGTTTTTCTCTCTCTTTCTCTCTCTCTCTCTCTCTCTCTCTCTCTCTCTCCCTCCCTCCCTCCCTCCCTCCCCCCCATCTATCTCTTTCTCCACCCCTCACGTTACCTCTCCTTCTCTTCTACTTTCCTATCAGGTATATATACAAAGAGAGGATGGCCCTACGCAGACCAGGAATCCAGCCCTCACTAGACACCCTATCTGCTGACATCTTGACCTGGGATTTGCCTCTCTCCAGAGCTGTGAGGGATAAACATTTGTTATCTAAGCCACCAGTCTAAGATATTCTTTAGTAGTAGACTGTAGTCGGTCCACACTGACTACAGCAGCTGCTTGACCTACATATCTTTCAGTTCCTCTTATAAAATGTAGAGTGTTGCCTTCACCTGAGGTTGCTAACAATGATACCAAATGATATGGGGATCCGGCATATGTGAAAAGCAGAACTTCATAAATACAAATCTTCTTTTTTTTTTCACTTGACAAGGTGTATATTTTCTTGTTGCCATACTGTTTCTAGAGAACAGTCTGGATTATGTGGCAGGCAACCACATTGTGCCTGTTACTCTGACACAAGGTCCCATCACAGACTTAAGTGTGTGGCAATGCCCGCATTCAAATGAAATCACCAGGTGTTAAAATGTGACCTTCAAATAAAAGCCAAGTCCTGAAGGACAGGCACTAGGAGAAAAGTAGAAGTTTCCAGAAAGAAGTTTCTGAATTATACAAAGAGACTGCATAAATGAAAAGCTTTTAACCTTCATCAAACAGTCCTGCCTCTTATCCCTCCTGATGTCATAAGCCTGAACCTTCGGGATGTGCTTCAGAGTCTTCCCAGCCCCTGTTCACGCCCTCAGTGGTTTCTAAAGTCTTCATCATAAAGCTAGATAAAAATATTTTCTAGTCAGAAAGTCACAAAATGCAGAAACTGGCTTATCCCAACTACAACGTTCTAATGTGGGAATAAGAACTTTAACTCAGCTTACTTTCTTTTCTTTTTTGGGTGCCAATCTTTTTACTCCCCACCTCTCCCAACAAGGCATCCTATGACAGAATAGGAAAAAAAAAAAAAAAAAAAAACTAGTTCTCTGTCTAGATATTGTATATTTCCTAAATTGTGATTGACAAAAGGAATTAGAAAACCACAAAAAATTCCTTTACTATGAAACTTACTAAGAGTAAAACTATTGCAGAAATTTCATCTGCTAAGCAGAATCACAAAAGGCAAAGTCTTCAAAGAAACAAATCATTAGCTGTTTCTGAGTGGAAGCAAACAGTCTATGAATACATTAGACTCACCTATGCCACAGTTCCAAACGTATAGCAGAACAGTTATATTTATAGGGCTTTGTTTAGAAAAAAATGGAAGTGAAGAAAGCTGTTTTCCCGAATTATGTCTCTTAAAAAGCGAGAAAACATCACCTCGGAACTTCTTACCTTTTTTGTCAATCTCTGGAACGCTGTTGCAGGGCTCAAGAGCATCATCTTACAAAGGATGATGGTAGCATAGGAGGCAAATGCCATCAAGACTTCATGGTCCATGAGCTGCTTGAGGTCAGCCATCTTTTCACTTTTGTTCTGGAGCCTTTAATGACTGTAGAGGGAGGAAAACAGACACAAATATTCACAAATCATTTGGTGGTCACTTGGCATGCTTATACCTTATACGAACTGCATTGTTCCTAAAACTATTATAGGCTGCTTGCAAAGGCAATGGCTGTTTTTTTTCGTAAAATTTTCAAAATCCAAGTCAGGTGTGGTGGTTCACACCTGTAATCCTAACACTTGGAGACAGAGGCAGGAGGACTGCTATGAGTTTGAGGCCATCCTGGGCTACATAGTAAGTTGCAGGTCAGACTGGGTTACAGAGTGGGATCTTGACTCAAAAAAATTAATTACTTAATAATAAATACATATAAATATTTTCAGAATAAACAATAGGAATTTTTTCTAGCTCTGTATCATCAAGGAGAAGGATAGCACACAAGTAAGTACCAAAGAATGCATAGGGGGGTTAGAGCAAAAGAAAAATAGTCCAAATGCCCTACAGATAAGATACAATCACATATTTGCAGCAAGATGAATGACTGGCTAGCTCGCTATATTGTAAACGATAACTTTGACTCTCTCCTCCTACCTCTGCTTCCCAAGTGCTGGGATTATAGCCTTACAGCTTTATACCATAAATCCTGGATCAATAAATTTTATGATATCATTATCATATCCTTATCATATCCTTATCAATAGGATAATGGTGACCATTAATAACAACACAGGTGGGGAAAGGGGAGTAGAAGACAACAGAACCATCCAAATCCAGGCCTGCAAGCACAGACTGAAGAAACGACTTTCACAGCCAGGCTTTGCAGGACAGCTCAAGTCATTCACACACTGTAGTAAAGAAAACCAGGGCACTGTCAAGATGGCTCAGCAGCTAAGCCACTGAGCCTGAAAACTGGAGTTCAATCCCTGGAACCCTTGTGGTAGAAGGAGAAAATCAATTCCCAAAAGCTGTCCTCTGATCCGCATCCAAGCACATGTACATCCTAAATAAATAAACAGCAAACTAAATTTGAGCCTGGAGTTGGAGGTATACTTGGTGATGTGCTCAGGAGAAAAGACACACTGTAAATTGATATAAATTCAGGGTAAGGCTTAAAATTTGAATGCTGGGGCTGGAGAGACGGCTCAATGGTTAAGAGCACTGGCTGCTCTTGCAGGGGACCTGGGTTTGAGTCTCAATACCTACATGGCAGCTAACAACCATCCATAACTCCAGCTCCAAGGGATCTGAGAACCTCTTCTGGCCTCCAAGGACATTGCTAGACATGGGTGCAGTTACATGCATGCAGACAAAACACTCACACATAAAAAAAAGTAAAAATAAAAACAACTAAATTTAAAAAATGTGAAAAACCATTTGAGTTGCTCACCCCTCTGGAAGTTCTGCTTTGTAACTTCCTTTTATTTCCTCAAATCTGCTACCTGCCTTTGTCTCATCCACAAAGCACACATCTTTCACACCCAGCTCAGGTGGCCTTTAATCTCCATGATACCTGTTCTTGCCCTTAAATTCCAATCTGTGCTTGTAACCTTAGAGTATAGCATTCAGCAGCTCTGTCCACTTATTCATGATCTCTAAATCTACATATAGCTTTCTGGATTTTGTTGCTGGTCATATAGTTGCCCACGTGCTGCTATGGAACGTGGTATAAATCACACTGGCAAACACACATATTTAGTTTTATGACTTGGTTGTGTCTAGCTATATGCTTTACTGCAACACCTAACATCATCTTTGTAACTGTAGCATTGCAATCTATTTCACGGGAACAGAGAGCAGGAGGCTGGGATACAGACACAGGTCTCTCTGTTCATCCTATGAGCCACGGCACACTGCATCTCCTTCAAGACACTGGCTTAACTTGCCTGTCACTACTGACTCTTTAATCTTAACCCCACTGGATGTCTGCTGTGGCTGACACAGGTGGAGAGCCCCTACACCTCTTACCTTCTTTTCTCTTCCCATTTATGCTATGAAATAGGTATTATTAGCATTTTGATGATAATGAAACTGAAGCTTCCTAAGTGAACTCTGATTTTCCCTCCTTAGATTGAAAACTCTCCTTGAACTCAGGCAAGCAGAAACTACACAGTCATCCCCAAGTGCCCTGTGGTTTCAAAATCCTCCCATGGATACCCAAATCTGCAGATGTTCAAGTCTCTTCTATACAATGGTACAGGATTTGCGTATCGCCTATGCACTTCCGCACATGTCTTCCAATGTTTTAAACTATCTCTACATCCCTTACAAGATCTGATACAATATAAACACTAGGCAAAATAGTTATCATACTGCATAGTTTAGGGATTAGTTGAACAAATTCTGTATATGTTCAGTACAGACACAATATTTTTGCTGATATTTTTTATCTACAGTTCATGGAACACAGGGTTCAAAGTATTCTGTATATGTTAAATTCCACATCTGTCAGTAAATTAATCCACCTCCATGAGTTCATGGTCTTGAAATCAGAGTGTGTCAGTTCCCAGCACAAGATAATACTTTCAGAAATTTTTAATATATCTCGTATGGAGGGATTACAAGTCATGGTAAACCATGCTATCCTTCAGAGCTCATGTAAAGTTAATTAGCTTAATAAAGAAACCCTATGGTCTATGCCTCTGAACGGAGATCTGAAGAAATACAGCAAGGACATAATTATTTTTAAAAATTTAGTTCATCAAGCAGAAGATGCTTCTATTTAATAACTGCAAAAATAAAACTCTCTGCTGTTGCTCTCAGAATCAAATTTATTTAGTGTTGAAATAAAAATTCAGAGGAGTTTGGGTGGTTGTTGTTTGTTTTGTTTTGTTTACCACAGTGGAAGTCAGTAGCGGAAGAAAAGAAGAAAAATGGAAACCTTCCAGAACTGTTAGTGCGAAAAATACACAGGTATCAGCAATTGGAAAGAAAGCGTGGCAGGGGAGGGGGTGGGGAGTGTCCAGAACTGTTAGTGCGAAAAATACACAGGTATCAGCAATTGGAAAGAAAGGTGGGGAGTATTGGCTTCTTTATGTTTATAAGAAAGCATACTTCACACAGTTACTCAATCGCCTGGAATGTGGGCGAACTCCTCAGGCCTGCGATTTTGGGAAACGGGCCAAAACCAAGTCCCTAACAGCACACTCCATGGGCCAGAGAACCTCTCCTCTCAGACATCTTCCACTTCTCAGATACCAGGGTCCACGTGAGCAGTGAAGGGAAGAATATTAAAAAGTAGGTGTCATGGAGGCTGGAGAGAGGGCTCAGCAATTAAGAACACTTGCTGCTCTTGCAGAGGACCTGAATTAAGTTCCAGCACCCACAACCACCTGTAACCCCAGTTCCAGAGGATCCAACATCCTCTTCTGGCCTCCATGGGCACTGCACTCTTGTGGCACACTTATATCCATGCAGGCAAAACACCGACACACATAAATTTTAATTAACCGATTAATTAATGAAGAAACAGGAGTCACTGAAACATAATGGAAGGCGATGCTGCTCTGGGTCTTTTTTATTTTGTCATGAGCCTGTAGTCTAAACTCACACCAGAAACATGGGTAAGCACAGTAGTAAAAAACAAAGCAGAAAGCTTGATGCCAGGAAGGTGTTCAGGAGGATAGAAAGCATTGTAGCCATAGTAAATAATAAATAAATAAATAAATAAATAAATAAACAAACAAATAAATAAATCAGTAGGTGAAGTGTTAGGTGATCTGAGTCTTCTAGGAATGGGGTAGAAAGAATCTGAGAAAAGGGGGGACCAGAACACCTGATTACAAATTACATAATGTAAACGGCTATGAGGATGGGTTATACTGTAGTCGTTCATCACTTTTACTCCCCATGTCTCGGGTAGCACTATAGTGAAGCTCTCTACTCTCCCATGACATTAAGATGGCAGTCCCCTGAAAAGACACAGAATGTTGAGTCCACACAAACTCTGGAAGTAGCCCAGAGCCCAGGTAGATTTCAACAGCCACTTACTAGCTACAGATTAACTTAGTTACCTCACCTGTTTAACAAGATTTTCTATGTGGCCCCTGTCAGCCTTGAACTACTGATCCTCCTGCCGCAACCTCACAAATGCACTACCATACCCTAAAATTATTACTGATAAATCCTATCTTGAGCACTACGTGACTGTGGTGTAGAGTACTTTAATAAGCACGGAGACCTGGTTAGTGCTATATGAGTGTTTGGTAGGTAAACATAAGCTCCTACTTCAGCACTGTCCTAGCCACTGAGGACCTAATTTCAGCTTTCACATACTATTTCTCACTTTGAGACAGATCAGAGGACCCACTCTTACTGACATGCTCTTACAGTGTTAAACATTATTAAAACACTGTTGAACACTGTTAAAATCAATATTAATTTTAATAAGTCCTTACTGTAAGCACTCCTGAATTTTGCTTCCTTGCATGTTCCCGAAGATGTTGGTGGATGGAGCATTCTGACTCCCTAATTGGCAGTCTCCAGACCCTTCCCTGGTCTTCTGACTACCTTGAGTGAAGGACTGTCAATCAGTAAGCCAATTAGACTGCCTTCAAGCCAGCACCTGCCACTTCAACTACTCTATGGACACCTTGAGAAAGCTACCCAGCAACCATAGCTGCTTGCTACCAAAGCACATCTATGTCTCCTGAAGGCACTGTCCCTGCCACTCCTGTGCCAGACGGTTTCCATCACAACCCTTGCTGAACTCTCAATAATCTCACAGTCTTTCCCACAGATGAGAACACTTCCTCTGGTGGTCCAGCAGGGCTGTGGTTGGTGAACACAGACCTACATCTGCATGTGGACTGCTATGATTGGTACAAGTGCAGTGTATCACTTGCAGGAGAGGGACAAAGTCATGAGTGGCGCAAAGACAGTCTTTCATTTACATGACAGTCTCATATGATTGGTACCAAACCCCCTTTCTGGTTCACACTGTGCATCAGCCAGGAGACAGTCTCCTGTGTTGCCTCCAGCTGTTGTAACATCAGACTCAACAAAAGCCTTCCCTGTGGGTGGTCCTTTTTTGCCTACACGCTGTGTGTGTGTGTGTGTGTGTGTGTGTGTGTGTGTGTGCATGGTTTCTTGAGACAGGGTCTCATGATACAGCCCAGGATGGCTTGGAACTCATTATGTAGCCCAGGTTGACCCTAAACTCACTTCGCGCCTACCTCAGCCTCCCAAGTGCTGGGATTAGAAGTCTATACCATCGTGCCTGACTTGTTTTTGAGTTTTGCTCTTCATCCGTCACCCAGCAGGCCTAGCTGGCAAGACAAGAATGGGCAGCAGCAAGTGACAGAGAAGGCAGTGATGACCGTGACAGCACCAATCGCTATGAGAAAGCAGCTGGGGCAAAAACGACAGGGACAATGTGGCTGAGTGCAGAAACGGCACCTTGATCCCAAAGGAACTCTCAAGAGCTGCCAGGCCTTGAGGATCTGGCCCCCTAGACCCAAAAACTACAACAGGAGCTGCTATGCCAATACCCTAGAATCCCAGTGCCCTAGACCTAGGAGCTGTAACGTGGTTGCTTCAGGATGAAGAGGACCAGTGCTTGAGGCCTGTAGGAGGCCTAGAACACTAAATGGTGCATCTGATGCCAACTGTTCAGTTTGCTGCCACCCCACTGGTACCAGAGCTGAGGACTGCAAAGACTGCCGAACGCCAAACCTGTGGCTGTTGCTGGTTAAGTAGCTAATGTGAGAGCCTAGAATCACAGGTTTCTGGCTTTCAAAGGGTTATTAGCTCTAAGCTTCTGGGTCTGCAGGTCCAGCTCTTACCTAGACCTCCAGTAGTCTCCAGAAATTGCCACCACTGGAAGAAGTTCTCTTCACTACCCACAATTCCTAGCTGAGTAGAGCAAAATCACCCCAGCCAGCTGAGAACAATCAGCTTGAGATAAAAACCTCTTAACAGAGGCAAATATTTTTCTCTACTTTAAGAAATCAAGCTTTTGCCTAAAGAAATGGAGTAAGTAATAAAGTCCCAAGGCACAGAGGACGGAACAAGACTGGAGCCCAGTTTCCTCAACCACATGACCTGTGGGCTAGTTACCATTCAAGCTAGGAACTGTAGACTGCTGCGGTCTTCTGGAAGCTTTCCTGTAACTCCCATGCCCATGTTTATCCCTCTCACAGTATCTGTCACTGAAGAGACACCATCTCCCAGTTGAGTTGCATTCCCTTTTCCCTTTATAGACCCTTGGCCAAGAAGAGCAAAGTTCTTTTCCTCCCAAGAATATCTGGCCTCTCTGCATCAGGATTGTGAAACAGAGTATCTGGGCACAGAGCCACAAGTCCATGACTCTTCAATTTTGAACCAACTGAAAGCAAGAAATTCATACAATGGGATAAAGGAAAAAAAATAATTTCAAAGATGATGCCACCATAGGGTCTAGAATTTCCTGAAGGGACTGAGGTGTCTGCAGACTCAGCCTCTGAGAGGCCTCATTGGAAGAAAATTTCAGAGTCCAGGTGATGGAGGCTTGCAGGGGAGAGTAGATATGGGGTTGGATGGATGGGAGGATGGGTGTGGGGGAGAGGTGGATGTAGGGGGGAATAAGGGGTGGTGAAGAGTGGCTATGGGGGCTGAGAGTTGTTTAGGGGGCATGCTGACTTCCCATTCAAGCCCCAGAGATTAACAAACTTCCTTAAAAAACAAACCCCTAGGGGCTGGAGAGATGGCTCAGTGGTTAAGAAAACTGACTGCTCTTGCAGAAGACCCAGGTTCAGTTCCCTGCACCCACATGGTGGCTAACAACCATTAGTAACCCCAGTTCCAGAGGGTGGGATGTGTTCTTCTGGCCTCCATGAGCACTGCAGGACAGGGATGCATAAATATACATGCAGGCAAAACGCACATAAAATACAAATAAATGAGTCAAGAAATGTTTTGAAGATTTCTTTTTTAGAAATAAGTAACTATACCTTTAAAAACATTTTACTTGTCTTTCACAGAAAAATAGTTAAATTTGGTACAATTTTGTCATTTTAAAAAAATAACCAGAGCGTCTCGGCAAACATAAGTACCCTTATTTTGAAAACTGCAAAGAACAGCACAAGCAACACTTCCCAGAGTCTTTCTACCAGTTAAAGACAGGCTAGGTCCTGAGGACCCTGAGCAGGAATCACTGCCAACAATGTAGGGTTAACACCCTCCTGGCACAGGCTTGGAGAAAGAGGAGGAAACAAAAACAACTGTGCTCAGACTACCAAAAGCACTTGGCATGGTAGCCAGGGCAGCAAGATCAGAAGACACACTCACCTCACTCCACAGCCTCAGCCCAGCCCCAGCCCACAGACTGAGCCCCAAGGAAGCCATTCTCCTTCCTCTTCCTCCTGAGCTCAGTGGATGCCTGTGAGTGCCTCCTCGGCTCTAGCATCTGGCCACACAATAGCATGATCCAATCCATGTCTTCATGAATTATCTAAAAGCACAATTTCCTAAGGTTCCTCTGGCCAATCACATCAATCGAGAAAGGCAAACTGCCATTCACTAAGTGCAAAGGCCACATGCTACACTGCATGGTTTCACACACTTGGGCTGAACAGAAGTTGCTAAAACACAGGGACTGCCCACCTTTCTACAACTTTCCCTGGCTTAGCGTCTTACTCCCCCTCAAGATCAAGGGACCCTTTCAAAGGGCTGCCACTTGGGCTTGAAAATAAGCATCACTTACACATGAAAAGACACGTGCTCCTAAGTTTTATTCTTGGAGTTTGAGAAACAGAGAAACTTAACTTACCGGCAACAGAAACTCAATTTTCTTTCAGGAGTCACTGAAAAGGGAAGTTTTAGCAGTTAAAAGGAACAAAGACTTTTCAGACCGGCAGAGCCACCTTCTCAAGCCGTACACCTGTGACCCGCCTGTCACTTGCACCCACCACAGTCTCCTTGCCCATTAGCAGCACCCCTGTACCACTAGCACCCCGGGACACACAGCACCCCCTGTACCACAACACCCCAGCCCACAGTACCCCTGCACCTGCAGCACCCGGCCCGCAGCACCCCTGTCCTGGGCACCAGGACTCTCAGTACCCTTGACCTGCTGCACCCCTGCTCCGCACCTACCAGGGAGAAGCACAGCAAGATGCGGGTCCCAGCTAGTGCACAGAGGGACTTTCAGGAAGAGGATCTGAAGCAGGCACCGCCCCCTTTCTGGTTAATTTCCTGTTAATTGCCCCCCCCCCCACTGAAGCCCGCCCGCTGACCCCGCCCTAGGCAGCCCAGGCTCAGTAGCCCCGCCCACCCCCACTGACTGGGGCTCCCCTTCTTCTCCGATGGGCCGGGGACCCAGGGCAACTTCCCCCCAGGAGAAGAGGAGGAAGGGAAGTGCTGCTAACTTTTATTTCGCGGAAGCAAAAGACCTTAGAAATTCATATTTGAATTTGGAAAACTCCAAAAGAGAAAAAACAACTTTTTAGAAAATTTAAATCTCGGGGGAGGAGTTCTCTCCTGCTGTGTCACAGGGTCCCTCCTGCTTCAGGGTCCAAAGTGGAACTAGGGATTCTGAGTGAATTGCACAATCGGCTTCCTTCTGGCAGGTTTACAGGGCCCTTGAGAGCATTGTCTTTAGAAGGCAGAGTTCTTAAGGCATAGACATCACTAAGGATTTTCCACACAGCCCCCACGATAACCTTTAAGAGTCCGTTTTCCATGGGTTTATCAGAAACGTGTTTCGCCACAAATTGCTGTGTATTTGTTTTGTTTTCTTATTTTTTTCTCTTCTTTTGGTGACTTAATTTTATTCCCTTCTGATTTTTCCTTTGTTTCCCTGTTTGTGTGGGTCATTTTCCCGTTTGTGTGTTTGTTTTAGACAGGGTCTTGCTAGTCTAGAACTTACTGTGTATTCTAGGCTGGAGGCAAACTTGAGACCATTCTCCTGCCTCAGCCCTTAAATACTGAGATTATAGATGTGCATCACTATGAGACCACCCCCCCCCCCCCCCCCCCAGTTCTGAGTTCTACCACAAAAGGAATTAAGAATTAAGTTTGCTGTAGAGACGGAAACTTTGGCCTGGAAACAGTTTCTTCAGAGGCACAATGGTAAACTGTCAGAAGATGGGTTTCGTCGGATGTGTTTTACTTAAAAACTACATCTACTCAACTCTCCTTCCTCTGCAAAGTGCGCTGGAAAGGGATAGAATTTGAGATGAAGTGAACCTTTTCTGAATCCCCCCTGCCCCAAGAGAGTGCAGTACTCTAAGGATTTAAAGTATTCTTCATTTAGGCCAAGGGAAGACAGCCCAAGTCCTGTGGACAATATAACAGGAAAAGGTACAGGAAAGCCTGTATTCATATAATTTTATCTTCAAAATGCCAGCAGAAGAGTTCTGGCATGATTTTCTAAAGAAAAGAACACCCAATTGATTTCATCTAATGATCTAATCGAAAATGTGTTCAAGCTATGAACTAATCAATAAATACTGAGTTTGTGCTATAATGCCTTAGTAATTATTGGCTATTCAGTACATACATGTATATGCATATATACACACATATATGTCACTGTCCTTGGTTTAAAATCAGCTCTTGAATGCTATAAATTTAATTCAATAAACATTTATTATTAAGTGAATGCACAAGAATTTAGTTGGCTGCTAAAATTTAAACCTAAGATAAATAACATCCAATAATTATATCCAAGGAGCTTATAAGAAGCAAAAAGTTAAGTCTCTATTAAACTTTTGAAATAGAAGATCTGAACATAGAAACAATAATAATAATAACAATAATAACTGAGCATGAAGCACAGCGGTAACGGGGAAAAGACCCTGAAGAATTGATACTATCTATTGTCTTCCTGTATCTACAACAGGGAAAAACGTGGTGGGAGAGCTTTGGCTGCCTGTCCCCAGCACATCAACTTAAAAAATGCGTAATGGAAAGGCAGAGAGACTTATTAACTGTGGCCACATGGGGTAAAGGAGAACTTGGTAACCCCAGGCCATCTCTGCAGTAAGAACATGAGCTTTAGGTTTAAATCGGGAAAGAACTGTGGCGGGGGGCACGAGACCTGCATAATTTAGCAGTCCCGGTCAAGGCATGGCCCCATTCTTCTAACCTACAGAGTGGTCAGAAGAAGTCCTTACTGCTTGAGGGAACAAAGTGGTTCTCAGGAGGTGATAACCTCTGCTCCATAAGTAATTGTCCTCATGGAGTGTCTGGGTGGGGTGGTCTGTCCTGGAAAGCAAGGCGGCTGGAGATGTAGGACAATATTTTATCTCTGTGCCTTTGGCCTTGAACGGGGATGATATGGGCTGAACAGCTACTCCTTGAGTGACCAATAAGTCAACCTGCAGAGGCAAGCAGGAGAGCCAAAGTCAAGGAGACAGAAAATAAAAGGAGAGCGAAGATGTCCTGCTTCTGTCCTGCAGCTACTTGCTGTGCAGGCATAAGTGAGGAGCAAACGCAGCCTCTGAGAGCCTGTTTTATTCTTCCTGTGCTCTTAGATTAATGTGGAAGAGAAGGGGTTACTATTCAGCTTAGTTTGAGTAAAAGAAAGGGTTCATATTTTCAACCCTTCTCACTAACACTTTAACCCTAGGATAAAATCTTTCAGAGAAACTCAATCCAAACTTTGAGACAAATAATCCCCTGGCAAATATGAAGAAACAGTTTAAAAGGTCATTGATTTGGAGGTGGGGAGAGCAAAGGTCATTCAGCAACGAGGCGCTACAGTGATAAAGAAAGCAAAGCTCTTGTAGGAGAGATGGAGCCAGAGGACATGAAAAGACAAAGCTGGAAGTTCAGTGCTTCCACCCTTTAAACACCACAGAGGACAATGACAATGACCTGCTGTCAGCAGTAGACTAGGCCTCTTGCACATGAGGGAAAACAAGCATCTATCACCCCTTCCAGTGATCTTGGATCTCCGCCCCCCGCCCCCGCCAAATTGACAGGATTTGCCCCATCTTCCACCCTACTATAAAAGAGGACCCACTTGGAGATTTAAATAAACATGCACGAAAACATGTCTTCAATTTGAGAGAAGCAAATTGGGAAATATAAGCAACATTCTAAATGCACAAATGCTATTATAGAATTATACTGTACAGATTTTGTCATCCCTGGAGATCAAACCCAGGACCCCATGTGTGCTAGACAAGTGCTCTACCTCTGAGCCATGTCCCCAGCCTATAAAATACTTTTAAAATGTATATTAGAGTGTTTATTTCTCCCAATAGCCCTATAAGTGAATTGCTATTCTGCCTATTCAGTAGGCAGACACCACTATCCAGACTGACTTCTGAAATAAATTCTGAATCTAAGATCTACAAGACAAAAAGGTATTCACAAGAGAGGGCCGAGCAGAAACAACAAAAAGACAAAATTACTGAAGGTGGGCAGTAGATTACAAAGAGTGTAAAGATGGAGACGTGAATCAGAGGACCAGACCAGAGTCCAAACATTGAACCGTGCTTATTTGGTCAATTGATTTTCAACAAAGGCCTCAAAGCAATTTCATGGAGAAAGAAAAGCCCTTAACCAAGGGGATATGGGAAAACTGAATAGCCACATGGAACAAAATAAACTTCAACCCCTTGCTCATATCATAAACAGAAATTTATTCAAAATGAATCAAAATACTATAAAGACTCTAAATGAGAACACAGTTTTCTTCATGATGCTGGTGTGGGTAAAGGTGTTATAGACAGGACAACAAAGCGTTATCCATAAAAAAGGATGTCTATGTCAATTATTACCATGCAAAAATATATCATTAAAATACAAAATATGAAAAATATGTGAACAGACATTTCACAAAAGAAAATATATTGCTGGCTAAAATATACATTCAAAGATGTTTAATGCCATCAATCTTCAGAAATATCAAAATCAAAATCCACTGGTTTAGTTTATCTTCCCAACCATCTCTACAGGTGTGTTGGAACAGGCAGGCCTCTGTAACCATCACATTAGTGTTAGACAGGCTGCCTTGCTGCCTGAGGTAGTTTGAAAGTACAGATTGAGAATACCGGCTTAGCTTTAAGATTGTAGAATTATCTGTGGCTTACTGAAGAAGATTAAGAAAAAAAGGTTTGTTTCCAAACAGTGGAACAACACCACTCTTGGCATTCTCCAGAATTAAAACCATTCTAATTAGTTCTGTTTGGTGTGGTCAGATTGGATGAGGCTAAAAGATTCAACAGATTTTGTGTGGTTGGTAGTATAGATAAAGCATGCCGAGAGATTGCAATTCTCTAGCCTCTGTTTCATCCACCTCTGCATGTCTTGCTTTCTGTACTCAATTGCTTAGGCACAACATTTTTCTCTGAGTTCATGATTAACTCTGCCCCTTGGAACTGCTTCTACTTTCTAAAAATTAATTTTGTGTCCATTAAAAGAGAAGTATAAAGGCAGACAAAATCAAACACTAACAAGGATGTGGCAGATGCAGAATTCTCATACCATGAAACACCAACTGGAAAACCATCTCAAAGTTTCTTACAATGTTATAGATTTATCCTATAATCCAAAAAGAGTATTTCTAGATATTCACCCAAGAGAAATAAGAACATATGGCCACAAAGATTGTTCAAGAAAGATCTTAGTAGTTTTATTCATAATTATCAAAAATTTTTGCTTTTTTAATATTTTACTATTTTTATTTTATATGCATGAGTGTTTGGCCTACATGTATGTAAGTGCACCCATGTTATGCAATGCCCAAAGAGGTCAGAAGAAGTTGTGGGATCCCCTGGAACTGGAATTACTGATGGATGTTAGCCACCATGTGGGTGCTGGGAACCAAACCCAGAACCCAGGTCCTCTGTAAGAGCAGTCAGTGTTCTTACCCACTGAGCCATCTCTCCAGCTCCCCAAAACCTTTCTCAAAAGTCAAAATATCTATGAGTGAAAGAGTGGAAAGGGCTGAAGAGATGGCTTAGTAATTAAGAGCACAGGCTACTCTTACAGAGGACCTGAGTTCTGGGTTTGGTTCCCAGCACCCACATTGTGGCTAACAGACATCCTTAACTCCAGTTCCAGGGAATCCAATACCCTCTCCTGACCTCTGCAGGCATTGCACAACATGGGCGCACCGACCTACATGCAGGCATTACATTCAAACACATAAAATAAGAATAAGTAAAATATAAATTAATAATAATAAAGAGTGGAAAAACGAATTATAGTGTACTTACGCAAGGTTCTACTAACTG